TTCTGCCGACTCACGATGCATACAACACAACTGCTAACCAATTTTGTCGGCGAGTAAGTGTTCTTTCATCCGACTTTGTTGACTCTGCTCGTTGCGTTTCATCGCGAGAACTCCAGGTCATTTCCTGCAAAGAGCCAGTCGCTATTGAGCATCAATGTCAGATTTTAGTTAAACGATGAGTAGAAAAAACCAGAGAAGACAGAAAAGATACAGCATCGAGACAGTGGAAATATATCTTGTAAAACAAAGTTTGTGAGGGCACAGGAAGTTAACTAGGAGCTGACAGATTCACATAAAGGTTCTGTATTAAAAGGAGAATAGTAATTTCTGAAAAAAATTATTATTTTATTGCATATAAATTATTATTATTATTTTGTCACTGTCGCAAGGAGACTCATCATCGGCAGTACGCACCCACTGAGACTCAAACCCAGGACCTTTTCTAACTGATATCAATCCGTGATCAACTTGTAAAATCATAACTAACCCTTACAAAACAAACTATAGAAAATTAATCTGATGCTCGCTTGTGACTTGCTGTAGGACGGGGTTTCCTGGAGTTCTAGTGAGAAGTCGTGACCAGTGATGTCCATCCAGATGTCACGTGCAAGGATGGATGTCCCACCGATGATATTGGTTGGGGGAGAATTTGTAGAAAGTAGAATTCATGGGCTAGTCATTGAGTTGGGTCTGTGTGGCTGAATGGTATACGAGCTAGCTTGTCTTGTAACCGGAAGGTCCTGAGTTCGAAGCTTGGTGTTGGGTACCTACTGCTTAATAAGAGTCCCAAACTAGAATGAAACAACTGTCCAGTACTCTCTAGCTTTCAATGGTCCTCTAACTGATATCAATCCGTGATCAACCTGTAAATACATAACTAACCTTACAAACAAACTATAGGAGATATTACACTTATTTATTTATGTTTTTATGAAGTTTCCTTGTTCTTCATATTATCAAATAGAGGTGCTTATAACTGTATTATTTCTACTAGAATAACTCCATTTTATTTGCTTGCTAGTATATACATTGATGAACATTACTCACTGTCATAATGACGTTGATAGACCATCACTCAGTTTGTTGTCATGATGTTCATGTGCTTGTAAGTGTTTAACCTTGAGAGAGAATTCATTCGACTAGTCCTACCACCGAAATCTATGAATTCGTTAAATGTAGTTTTGTCTCACAGTTGTTGTCTTGTTTTAATCGAGAATATATGAGTAAAAATTTAAAAGATACTTTTCTGTAAGAGGCGATAAGGGACCTATCAATTTTCATATCGAAACTATCCGAAATTGTACTCGGCAGTTTTATTTTTATTGTTCAAAATTATATATGCACAATAAAGTGAAATATCCGGGGAATTATCATTTTAACAATATGACAGGGCGAAATAACACTAATCTAAGAACTGACTTTTGTGAGTACTAATGTAAAAAAATCCACAGAATTTATGCATTACAACATAAAACTTTTGCATGACTGTCTATATGAATCCCGATTTTTCCCTCCAATTTTTGGTTCGTGAAATTTGTCAATAACTTGCTTATTACTTGTCATAGATATCAGCAAATTGAAAATCCCTATTGAGTCATATAAAATAAAAAGGCGTTCAGAGAACAATTAATCTTTCATTGATTCTTATTTATATCATCCTCAAACAGAACAATGGCGTATACATAGTAAACTGTCTTAACAAAAAAAAGGAATATGATTGAATTTTAGATTTTCCCGTCGATTGAATGGACCGAAGTGCTCAGTCTTAGGTTAACATGTTGGCTTCTTGTGCAGATGCTTCGACGATGTCTGGGCATTTTTAATTAGTATTTAATTGGTGGATGGTGACTAGCAGTGGTATCCAGGATGTGCATTTCGTCCTATTTTGGACTCGTCAAATGGATGTACCTGCATTTCTCAGTGAGTGATGATTTCCACCGAGGCTCGAACCTAGTGCCCATAGTTTCAGACGCCAAATTTAAATTAAAATTTAATTTAAATTGAAACTAGGGGCACTGGGTTTGAGCCTCGGTGAGAACATCATCACTCACTGAGAAATGCAGGTACATTCAGTTGACGAGTCCCAAATAGGACGAAATGTGTATCCTGTATTCCACTGCTAGTCACATCCACCAATTAAAAAAGGAATATTTCCAAAGATGTGTAATTAGAAGTGTAAAGTTTTTTGGATAACAAATTACGTAATGCGGAATGCTTTGATCGAGTAGAAACCAGGTTAAAATTATATAAATAAGTTAAGTGACGTAAATTAGTTGACGCGGCTGATTAGAGAATCCAACTAATATTAGAACGAGAGTCAAGTTAAAAACAGTAGTAATAAGGGGGTAAGAGATATAATAAGGGGTGAGGCAAGAAAATACTACAATTTAGAATTAAAAGTACAAATCACACTTCTTCAAATCTCAGAAGCAATGGCGATTCACACGTCGCATCCTGAACTCTGTATACAAAAGAAGTTTTTCAGTTACTGAATCTACAGTGGACCTGATTTATCTTAGCACTGAATACGTGACTTTTGTTTCCTAATTGTATTATTTTCTTGTCCCACTCCCTATTATATATCTACCCCTTTATTAACACTATTGTCAACTTTACTCTCGTTCAAATTTCCTTTGAATTCCACTTAGTCTAGTTTCTGCCCAATCAAAGATTTCTACATTACGCAGTTTTATACTTAAGAAAAATTCGCAATTCTAATGACAAATGTTTGGAAATAATTGCTTTTGTCGCTAAAACAATTTACGTATATATATGCGACTGTGCAGTTTGAGAATGTTATCACCGACAAGAGTAACTCTTCTCTGAACGCCTTTTCTTTTATATTTCCCAGCAGTTATTTTAATAATAATAATGATTTACTTTATTCCAAAAACAGTACTTGTGATACAGAATGGAATTTTCACCATTAATCACAATATTGCATCTAATTTCCTCAAATTATAAATAAAATTAATCACACAGAAAATTTTCCACATTTACAATAGAGGTAGTGTCAAAAACATGCAGCATATAAAATGGAAATAGCAATAATAATGATAACAGCTAGGGTAATAATAATAAGAATACAAGTGAAAATTGCCGTTGGCTTGTGCCACACAGTATTGTCAATGTGGTATGGAAATCCTAACATGTTTAAAAATATTGAATATAGTGTTCTCTTTACATGATATGGTGAAGGGAAAAACAAAGATTACAGCCATCATGGAGATAAGTTGGTGTTTGCAATTATGAGAGTAAAACAGAGAAGTAACAGGACCATAAATATAATAGAAATAATAAAAGTAAAGCTTGAAGGTATATAAGGATGGATGGATGGAGGAAATTGTTTATTTACTAGATGAAAAAAGGTTAGTTAATTCTTGCCTGACACTATTTTGATCACATATAATACGTGTCAAGTATGGTATCATAGAATTCTTATACTTAGACGTGCGAGCACACAGTTATCTCAAGTTACTTCCTGTTCTACCTGAGGAGATGCAAGGTGAAAACTGAGGGTAAAGCGGATGCTCCAAGTCAGACAAAATCCCTTTAGCAAATTTAGTGCATGAAGTCAAGTGCCTATCGACAACAACTTACTATACTCCAGGAATAAACTGCATTAGAAAATCTGCATTTCCTATTAAACCCATAGGAGTTATTTCCTACTGTAGGCAGTAATTTCGGTTTTCAGTCTGCTCCACACTTTGTTTTAATTGAGCTCTTCTAATTTTCAGATTACTTTACCATAAAAGCTTTATCATCAAATGTTAATTGCAAGGATTTGACTTGTAATGGATTCAATCACGAGGTGAAAACCACTAGAAAACCCGGGAGTACTGTACAGGTGTTTCGCGTTAGTGTGATATTTTTAAGTCAGATTTGGACTAAGTGCCTTTGGGATAGAAGCCAAGCTCACTGACTGTTCAGTTGCTGAACCCGATCCAATGGCTCATGAATTCCAACTTCTGCCACTTCGCAATATATACAGCTCAAGCGACAAAAAAATGCCACCTATGAGTAGCTGTTCTGTCACCTGACTTTGAGGATCCCGCTAACTAGGGCTTCTTATTAGAGGTCCATGCATCTTCCAGTGTGTGGAACCAGTCACCTGTGAACATACGACTAATTATCAGTTGTTTATTTGCGGGGATTTAGTTGGTTTCAAGTTTGATCAGCTGCTGATATCAGTCAATGCTTTCTTTCAAAATACATTGGATTTAATACTGGGTTTTCGGTCAAGGCGTTCAGGGTTCGCAACATTCTTCATCTGCTTGGCGTATTCCAAGTAGATGATTTATACAAGGCCAAGTAAACTGATTCTGATATATTTGTGTTGGAGAATAATCTTGGACAAAACTAAGGTATTCTATGTTGTTTCTGTCAAATTGGAACATATATGTCTTGGTTAAAATTCTGAAAATGAAATTAAAATAACCAAAACTATAGTTTATAAACGAACTAGGAAAGTTATTGAAGGAATGCAATATATCACATCACCATGTTTAAGTAGAAAACAGACAACTCATGCAGCATAAATAGGATAAATACTATGAAATAGTTTTCAGTTATTGGTTTTCAATGGATTTAGTCGGTTTCAAGATTGACGTCACTTAAAAACTGTTGGAAACCTGTGGGTACTGGGCAGTTGCTCGTCCTTGTTTAGAACGTTTCAATAGAACCTACTCCTTGAGGTCCAAACTCAGGACCTTCAGGGTTACACAGCGAGCTCTTAAGCCTTCGAGCCAGTCAATCTTGAAGTCGATCAAAACATGGTACCGAATAGTGACAGACTACAGAATGATGTTGTCTGAATTTACAAAGAGAAGTTTCGATCAGAGGCTTCCACCAAGTTGAGTGTGATCAGTCTTCAAACCATTGCATAGGTCTGAAGCTTAGAATACTAAAACGCTGAGATATGTGGTCATTTTATTTTCTATAAGACACGTTATCCCACACTCAAATATTAAGTGATGCAAATAAACATCACAGGAACTTACCGTCTATATCGAATCGTACTGATGAAGGGACTTGTGTATCGCTTAGCCGACGTGAAAACTTATTTGCTAGAGTTGTAATTACAGAAACCATTAGGCAGTAGTAAAGTTCAAAGTTTTAAACAAAATATTTTTTTCAATCAAAAATCTTGATTTATTAGTAGATTTGATCAGAATTCAATCTAGCTTTGTTTTAATTTCAACAAGCATATTTTTCTGCTTTATTTAAATCCACTGTTTTAACAAGTTTTTAAATGTATTTTAATAAATGTTTTCGATATTTTCTTCAACAAAACACAATGATTTCAAATTTATGTACCCAGTTGTAACTATCATTTATTTTCAGACACGAATTTTTCAGCCTCTGATTGGTTTCCACAATGACTACCAATCATATACGCACAGATAAATTAAGAGAGAGAAGGATTGTTGTTTAATTTGAGTAACTTGTGGAAATATGACTCAGGGTCACTTTTTGACCTACGAGTTTGTTGTGAAAAAAGGACAATAACAAACACTGAAGCCTATTTTTTTAATTGTTTTGTTATTTTTTTCTTCAGAAAAATGTGTCCAATGCTCAAATGATAAATTGAGGAAGGTGAGAAATGTGTATACAATAGAATGTAAAAAAAAGCGGCAATAATTCTGAAGTGAATCTATTTGAAGGACAATTTTTTGGTGAAACTTCACAGCTTTTTTGTATGCTCTGCTTGTATTTAGGCACAATATCAATAATTTTTTGATGGTTTTATTATTTTACTTGAGGAAGCAGCAATGCCTCCATTTTGTTTCCTTGTTTTATTTGAAATTGTTGACTTTGTCTATGTCAACTGATTTTTACATTTCGTTGGTCGTATGAAAAACATTTTCGCATGTCACGCACTACTAATCTGTATTATTTTATGTGACTGGTAGACGATGTTTTCAGTTATGAAATACTGAAAACTAGGAGTAGTCGACGACTGCTTCGGCCTTGGTTGACGCTCTTCAGCGATGACTGAATAACTTGTTTCAGCACAGAGCTTTGCACCGATGTTCAACATTTCCAGTCACCACACTCCATGTAGCACACAAAACAAGCGAAGAAAGTAGAAGAAATGCATAATAGAGACAGTAAACACAGATATGAGGCAAAAAGAATAGTAATATCGAAGAACAATATAGTTTTATTGGGTATTTTAAGTCACAAGGAGTGGATGCATCTGCGGTGGCCATTGAGAATGATTTTGAGCCATATCACCAATTTTCTCCAGCCATTGGTGTTTACCATCTCGACGGCCCTAACCAGCAAGTTTACATCTTCCTACGTGGCTGGATTTCATTGACTGATGCAGTCTTGTTTTGGTTTGAGCACCACTGGCTTTTTTCCAACTTGAATTTATGTCACCCAAAGTTGTCCGTCGAGGTAAGCAATGGCTAGGCAAACGTAACATATGTCCTAACCATCTCAATCGATGGTTGATCACTGACGAAACCTCTGCACAGATACAGAAGGCTCGTTTCTCATAAACCAGTTTCCGCCGCCTCTGGCGTAGACGTGGTATCTGGCTCTTAACCAAAGGGTTTGTGTACTGCTCATCATTCCGCTTTGTCCTCCTTTATGGCTAACTGTGAAACCTAGCCACTGAAAGTTGGTGACATGAAAAGGCTAGCTGTCTTTTATCATAGGTTCCTGGATTCTGTCTCCCGTGTGAAGTGGTATAATAGGGTGAGCAATACTAAGGTTAGGGATCGGTCGAGTGCTAAGTAAGGATGGGAAATCAATTGTCGAGGCTTTTCAGCAATGCCGGCATATGATCCTACTAGTGTTCGAAGCAAGGGATTTTGTGTAACGAAATGAACTGATGGTGTTGAGAAGCAATTCAGAGGTCTATGAAACCTAACTTTTCCTAACATACAATAACTTCCTGCTAATATTTTGAGATAGAATTTGTTTTCACACTCGACTTGATAGATCTCTCTCATTGTAATTCAAGGTACTTCATCCTGAGGGTCCGATTGGCACTGGAACTGTTATTCAGGTTTAATGCTCACAATTTTATGACCCATTTGTTCACTCCTGTTTAGTAAATTTCTGCCTTTTACTGTTTAGTGTTACAATGTCGTCTCATGACAAATCTAAGGAGATTTCGGAAATCAGGTAGTTCTGTACACTGCCTCACTGCAGTTTTCAGCATGCTGATAAGTTATTGTGTAATCGAGACAACTGGGTACAGAGGGATTGAAACAACCTGGTGACTGTAAGACCGAATTCAAATAATGTTATAATGGATGTAAACTAATGACTGGTCTCAAATTTGAGTGCCGTAGCTTTGAATTAATTTTCTTTTTAATAATCGCTCAGTAAGGTCAGTTCACGAATATAACTTTCCATGAAATCAGTTTTTGTCCTGAGAAAACGTGGCGGGACTACAGTATTTTTATTAGTCAATAGTTAGTAATTAATATCATGTATGTAGTCCTTCGTTTGCTGCCGACTGAATTCCACCAGTCAATATTGTAATGCGGTCACCATGCTAGGTGGCTCTCTGTTGAAACAATAAGAAGACTTTAGAAGTTCCGGATTTAGTGTATGGCTGATTTATGTCTAATGTCACACAAACTCGAAGACATGCAGGCGAAAATCAACCAACTGGATGAAGGAGCACCCCCACAGAAGACAAGACTCCAAGTGAACACAGAAAAGGTGGAGACGGAGGTGATGAAGAGAGCCAACCGACAGCAGCAACAACCAGAACCAATATGCAATACAACGATAAGTATGTCAAACTGTAGAGAAGTTTTTATTAAAAAGCTGTTTACTTTATTAATCCTAAAAATAAGTTAGTCATTCGCAGAATAGAAGCATTTGTTTCATGTCTGTTATTGGGTCAACTTGGGAGAAGAATAGACTAAGACAGCGCATGGTAGAAGCACTCACAGTGAAAATAATAATGAGAATTTGTCTTGATCTAGAGATGTTTATGAATTTGCTACAACCTGTAACAATTTATTACAAATCTGTGACTACTTTTAGGCATCAGACTAAGACAAAATTAAATTTAAAACAGGAATTCAGGTTTTCATTATTAATGATAATAATAATGAATCTCTGTCTGAATTCTAGATGTTACAAACGCAAATAATAAAGCTTCACTGAAGATAAAAATAGTTTTCAGAAACTCTGTAGGCTAAAATAAGAAGATTTCGGTTAAAAAAGAACGGACCTAGATAATTGGAATATAGACATAACGGGGTAAGATTGAACTAGCTCTTGGAGTCGGAAAAGTGAAGTAAGCGGTGGCATGTTTGTAGTCTGAAAAGTTAGTCAAACCACCTAATTGTCTATGGGAAATAAACTGTATAGCTGACACAGATGTATTCACCAAAGCACGTTATTTAATACAGCTGTTACTATCTATAAGTCAACAGTCCACGTTTCTGTATCTGCCACATACTTTTAAATTGGTATATAAAATGTCGGAGAGAAGGGAAACTACTTCCAATGAACAGTTCCATCCTAAAATTTTGACTGGACGCTAGGAAGTAGCTATCGTGATGTGTCTAGTCATTTGTTTGATGGAGACTGGATTTTGTCAGTTAAGTTTGCAATGTGGCTACAATTCTAGGTTGCTCACCATCATGGTGCGCTTTGAATTATCGATTTTAGATGGTTGGAAGCAATCGACCACAGGAAGCCGTGCTCGATCCAAGTTTCGTACTAGTCAGCCATTGTCAGTAAGGCGTGTCTGCAACCATGAAGGAACTCATGTCCCTTCTGAGATTCGAACCCGCGTCACCCAGTGCTGCAGTCAGAGACGTTACAACTGAGCTATTAGTAGCTGCGAATGATCTCCTGTAGGACCGTATTGAATAATTTTGACTGGACTCTAGTTAATAACTAGCGTAACATCTAAGGCTTCCTGCCGATTGCCGCCAACCATCTAATATCATCGTAAAATCTCAAATCTGATAAAAATCAACTAAACAGAAAGATGGTCTACAAGGTCTTCTTTAAATTAAGAGTCATAAACTGTCAGATCAAAATCTGTGTCGTTGTGAGAGTGCACAGTTTAAACTATCAATATTCTGGAGAAATCAATAACCCGATATAGTTAGTTATTTATTCATGAAGAGATTTAGTCTGCTGTTATGCTTGAGAATTGATGCAGTTACTGTCTGCTTAAAAAACTCAACCCTTTTTATATTGGTGTGCTTGCAAAATGATAGATTGTATTCCACTATCATAACTGATATTTGAATTCATTTGAAATAGTGTTGTTGTTTCTAAAAATTTTAAGAGACTTCTAATTGGTGAAAACAGTTGAAATATTTCAAGGCTAATCACAGACTAATATCAGTTAGAGAACCATTGTAAACCAGAGAGTACTGGTCAGGTGTTTCGGCCACTTCATCATCAGCACGTGCACACGGCCACGCCAAGGATTGAATCAATGAACTTCCGATTACGAGACCAGGGTGGTTTAATAATTAGCCACGTGGGCTGGAGTTTAATGATCTGTAAATCCTAGCCTCTGACAGTTCTCGAATTTTAGGTGGGCACCAGTCACTGTAGGTTATTTGTCCCTACCCCTATCTTATGGGCACGATAAAATCGTGGATTATTAGAAGTTAGATTCAAAAGTCACTGAATCCCGGCTCAAACGACTCATTAGTTCGTGAGCCTGGTTTCTTATCCTAAAGGCAAGGGATTCGATCATTAGTAGAGTCTTCAGTACGCACTGTAAAAAATAGTACCATCTTATTCTATATTAAATGTTAATTTTTTTTCTGACTTTTATCTAACCACTGATGATTATGTGAATATTTTGGTTGACTGATCTGCAACATCCTTGTCTTCAGATATGAAGGAGAAGCAGTGATGCAAAGGCTAGAAAACACAATCCTACCAAAGATCAAACCCAAAATTTGGATACGTCACGTCGACGACACATTTGTAATAATCAAAAGAAACGGGTTAGATAAGACTCACAACTTAATAAGCAGCGTCTTCAACAACATCAAATTCACAAGAGAGGAGGAATCCGAGAATCAAATCCCATTTTTGGACGTCTTAGTCAAGCGAACAACCACGGAATAACTAGATGATCACGTTTATAGAAAATAAACTCATGAAGACCGAATACTCAATTACAACAGCAACAAGCCAATAACACACAAAAGAATTGTGTACAGAGGGCCAGGACTCATTGTAGCACTCCCACCTTAAGGAAAATTGAAGAAAGACATCTCATCGACGTCTTCCAAAAGTATAGATATCCATGGAATTTCATCAAAAGACAGATACCCCCAATCAAACCTGTCA